CATTGCGACTAGAATGTATTTACCTCTGAAATCTTGAGTCTGGAAAATAGCGTTTGGCAGTTATTGGAAGTATACTCGGTTTTACATCCCTGCTATTAAACTGATTTAGTAACTTAACCTTTGATAGTCATTGAAACATTGATAACATGAAATGAAATACTTATAACTGAACAAAAATTTATTACGCGCGTGTACTTAATATTCAGATTTTTCTCGAACATCTGCGGAGGTGCAAAGGTTGTGTTCTGACATATTAAGTTCTGAGTATTATATCTATGTTACCAGGTTATATTGTGCAATACTTTTATCCTGAATCTAAATGAAGCACTATGACAATCAGTACAGTTACAAATATTTACAACCCAAAGATAAATATGACAATATTAATACAAACACAACCGCATCTAATTAACGCAAGGCTCGATTTACATATACAGTTTACGATTCCTCAATTACGTCTGTCGTAGACAGGAAATATTATCTTAAATAAACTCAGAATCTCAGCTCTTAAACTATTCATTTTCCTTATACATTTTTCTGAATTCTCCAAACATATTAAAAAGTCACAATAAACGTACAAATAAAAGCTTTATTCTAAACTCCCGGATAAATATTTACCATTCAAATGAAATTCAAATTTACATAATCACTCTACAAATTTCTGCATAACATTTACTAAGGTACTGAGAATAATCAAGCATGTCATGCTGCATAATCATACTTGTGCAGCAAATGGATGCCAGCAAGACTGAGGACTGCATTAGTGGCAGTTGTCTAAAAGCCTTTCTCATATACAAATATTGGACGACTTTGGCAGATTATGATCTGGTATAATGTATTGCAACAGATTCTTAGATTTCCCGATTAGATACTCGAATACTTCCTGTGATGCATCAATGTTGTCCTGAAGAGCTGTTTTACCGTTTTATGTTTCAGAGGGTAAGGCATGCATGAGTCAGTAGATCTCTTTTAAATATACATTTATTAAATCACAAAACACACTTTTCTTGATTAGCCTAGATTATATACGTTACAAAAAAAAAAAAAAAAAAAAAAAAAAAAACTACATTCATGAATGCCTTTCGGCATGTCCTACTCGTAAGTCCTACGGGACTCTCACAGCGTTCATTTCTTACGGTATACTGTAATTCCTAATCCTAAAGCATCGATGGCACATTACTTATCAGCATCTTGCAAGAAGCTTAATTAATAGGTGGTGCAATTATTCGCGAGAGAAGAAAGAAGATTTCTTGTAGATGTGCTTGAAATTAGCGCACATGGTCGTCACTTCGAAAATCCAGTTATCAGAACACGTGGTTATACACGTGGAATCACAGCACAGGAATCATTTTTAATCGCAGCATAACCAGTAAAGTTTACCGGAGTTCTTATTGCTCATTTATGCAGCTTTCTTCGTACAAGAACATGTTTTCTCCTTCATCTTATGCAACGGAATATCAGCTCGATTACATGATGTTTTACAGCGGACGATGGCGAGAGCTGTGTGTGTGGCCCGAAGGCCCACACACTCGTTAACACGACGACAGGCAGAAAGAGACAAAACCAGTCCTTCCAGTTTTTATCCACTGCGACGCACGTGGTAGGGCACGATAACGATTCAAGAATCGATAATGCCACCGTGTTCACTGTGAGAATTCTGTGTTCTCACATTCCCTCCGGCCGAAGAAAAAAAAATTGTCCGATCACTGGACAAATGAAATCCCTCTCTGCTGGACACACTTGAACTTTCGTCTGCATTACATACACATTTCACACCAATCTTTACATCACTTGCAAAGGCACTGCACTTTATCATTTCGTTGGCACTATATAAACATTCCACATTACATGCACACAGTTGAGCTCTCGTATGCACTATACACACATATTTCACATTAATTTTTCACATTGCTTGAAAAAAAAACACAGCACTTTAAACACTTTGTGATACACAATTTTTACATTCCTAAATTAGTATTATTCTTTTACGTACTCATGCATGTCTACTCTTACCTAAAATATCACCACAGATGCGATTCCATAAAATGAAATTTTGGACATATATAATTTTAATTCACATATGATTAAAATCAATTTATCAACTTAAACTAATGAATATTGCATTATCAATTTGATGTTACTCCTCTTAACCATTGTTTACCTTTGTTACATTATCTCATTCTTTACATTTTAGAATCACATTCACTATTTCATTACATAGCTACTTTTATCATTTGATCATATTCATTTTACACATATACATTTCATACGCCAATGTGTCATGACATTGTTACAAGCTACATTTGTATTAGATCCACTACTAAATTACATACCTTCAATTTGATTCAGCAGTAAGACAAGGAGATTTGCAGCACACTCTTTTCTTTTTTTATCTGCTACCTAGTAATCAATGAGACCCTGCATAGTACAATTCAATTCTTCTGGTATATGGACCAGCCAACTCTACCAAAAATCGTGCAATTAGCGCTTTATTACACTAAATTGACCCATACCACACATAATCGTCATTCATTATCTAGCTTGTACACATGCTACATTCTTATCATAATCACAACTTCTTTACTTTACACTTTTTTTTTTTTTGATTTGCTGATATAAATTTACATTGTGTTACACTTCTAATCCTCATCAGTAACGATACTAAGTATCAAATGCGAATTAACAATAACAAAAATTTAGTGGTTAGTACATTGCATGATCTTTAATAAAAAAAAACGACTTCCAATAAGGTATGCATGAGTCAGTAGCTCTCTTTTAAATATACATTTATTAAATCACAAAACACACTTTTCTTGATTAGCCTAGATTATATACGTTACAAAAAAAAAAAAAAAAAAAAAAAAAAAAAAAACTACATTCATGAATGCCTTTTGGCATGTCCTACTCGTAAGTCCTACGGGACTCTCACAGCGTTCATTTCTTACGGTATACTGTAATTCCTAATCCTAAAGCATCGATGGCACATTACTTATCAGCATCTTGCAAAAAGCTTAATTAATAGGCGGTGCAATTATTCGCGAGAGAAGAGAGAAGATTTCTTGTAGATGTGCTTGAATTTGGCGTACATGATTGTCACTTCGAAAATCCAGTTATCAGGATTATACACGTGGAATCACAGCACAGGAACCATTTTTCCTCGCAGCATAACCAGTAAAGTTTACCGGTGTTCTTATTGCTCATTTATGCAGCTTTCTTCGTACAAGAACATGTTTTCTCCTCCATCGTAAGCAAAGGAATATCAGCTCGATTACATGATGTTTTACAGTGGACGATGGCGAGAGCTGTGTGTGTGGCCCGAAGGCCCACACACTCGTTAACACGACGACAGGCAGAAAGAGAGAGACAAAACCAGTCCTTCCAGTTTTTATCCACTGCGACGCATGTGGTAGGGCACGATAACGATTCAAGAATCGATAATGCCACCGTGTTCACTGTGAGAATTCTGTGTTCTCACAATTCTTAAGTAGCTTTTCTGAACTTTGAGATTCTAACAGTGCTTCCTTGTTATTTGAAAATCAGTTACAGATATCGGGTTATCTAATCGAGCAACCCGATAACTATCTAAGAATCACTACTACTTTCTTTCGGTTTTGCCGGTGTAACTTATGGTCTTAATGCAAGCTACTCATCAGATCAGCTGTTGTTTTCTACATTCTTTTCAAGGCGGTCTCGGTCACTTGCTCTAACCATAATTATGAGACGGTCGACGTGGGTTTGGGAAAATATATTGCTGTGTTTTTTTTTTCTGACACCGGTTGTTACGTTATTTTATTTTCCTTGATGTTCGTACGTTACGGGGTTCGTGCGGATTTGGAGTGAATAACGACGACACTTGATAAAGTATCGAAACACATTTTGTTTAGCCAATAGTAATCAGGACAGCTCCAAAATCACGTTTAATAGTCTTCGAAGAACTACCATACATACGCTGACACAATCAGCGAGACAGTCTTCACACTATCAGGGCATAACGATGGAGGCAGCTTCACTGCAAAGCATCAGACTTCAGTTCCCGACTCTACTTGGTCGTTCTCAGAATTCCCCGTACTCTCTAGACTCTCCACGCTACAACTCGCGATGCACTCGACGCACACAGAGTACAGCTCCCGACTCTTTGGTTCAGTCGTTCCCGGAGCTTAACACATTCTCTCGACGATGCACTAACCGCGATACATTAAGAGACTCTTCGATGTACTCGACGACCCACTCGGCACTCGCTGCCCAGCTGTCAACTCGATCGACTCCGCACGGACTGACTAACTATCTCGCACTCTGACTCTCCGCGTACCAGCAGGGTTTATATAGTTTTTGGCTTGTGTTCGAGAACGTTCTGGGCTAAACTGGTAAGAATTCGTTCCAGAAGGTTCTCCATCCGTCCATGGCATATCTCCAATGTCGTCGCCAAATGTCGCGAAATGTGACAACCCTGCCTTCCTTTGCCATTTTATGGCAATCCTAAACCTGCTTTGCGGGGAAGCCATCTTACCGCGCCTGTGCATTTCTTAACAATATATTAGCCTTTTTTTATTGTGTAGATGAAATACGAAAACCTAGTGCCATATAATACCTACTCAGAAGCGGATTATAGTCTGTTGTTCATTTGTTTATCTGCAGAAATTTGAGGGCATCTCAGAAAAATGTTCTTCTTGAAGAAAACAAATATCACAAGCTTTCTTAAGTATAGAACGTTCTCCTACAATTTGTTGAATATACAATAAGTTGAATTTCTTAGGCAAAATAATTGTTTGAATGTTGTTAATTTGATAAAAAGATGACATAATAATAGAATATAATTTATCTATCCTCCAGAATTCTTTAAGAGTGTCGCTGTTTTCTTTACAATTATTCTGTAGGCTATAATATTAAAATTCAGTAAAAAGTAAATCTAAAAGCGAACGATAGACAACTACTTAAACAATCATCTGACAAAGTCTTAAACAAACAGGGATAACGGAATTTATTCCTGGTGAGATTCTTACCTTGTTCTTTGGGCGGCTGAAGGTTGTCATAATCCTGAGGATTTTCTGGCAAAATTGTGTCAAAATCTAAGCTCAGAGATCTGAAAATTAAAGAAACACACGGTCATTATTTAAAGAGATTTCTATTCGTTATCTTATTAATTGTAATTACATATAGATATTTTAAGTAAAATGAAGAAATTTGTAAGAGAATGATTTGTAAGAGTTACCTTGAAGGGTAACTGCATTGTAATTAAATAAAAAGCAGGCTTTAATAATGCATAAAAATAAATTCATTTTATTTTTCTATCATTTTAAATAAAGTACAAAAAGTACAGAATACGAGATTCAGATGTACAAATCATTAGTGGATTTTTAGTTCTGCTAAGTTCACTATCCTCGAATATTCAAAGGTTATCCGAGTGAAAAGGAGCACGCCTTAGTGAAGGGCGGAAATTGAAGTGGTTCGGATTTATATCGAAATATAGAAAGAACCATTTCTCACTAATGTACATAAATTGCATACATCAAGGTACAAGGAAGTCTAAGTTTTTGCTATTTTTAGAGCAGCATTTCTGAAATAAGCTTCCTCGGATCCCTAAGATTCGATGAGACTTTCCCAAGAAATTTTGATAAATTTAGTTATATGTTTTTCATGATTAATGCTTGTATATTTTTTCGTGTTTCACGAGCTCCACAAACATAAAATTGCTGAAAGAAAATGTTCTGAGTTATAAACAATAATAGAGCATACAACAACAAAGAAATTACAGATGATAAAAATGTGAACCTTAATTTAGGAATTTAAAGCTTAATTGGATAACATATATGTCTTTGAACTCAATGATTAAATTATTTAAATAAATAAATAGGAATGCAAGCAGTAATAAATTCAATAAAAGCTGCCAGTTACAATAAAAATCTTACAAAAAATAAAATAAAATTGGTAAAAAAACACAGACAAAAAGCATCTTTTTTCTTCAGTTAAATTCTTGTAAATCTTTTAAAAGAGTGAAAAAAGATAGAGAGAAAAAAAGTCAGATGAATCTTGTAGTTTATTCAGAGCATGATGTCGCTAGGCAGCGCAAGTTACTAGTTTGTCCTTGCTGTTACGCTGAGTTTCTGATACGCCTTTTGGCCATTTAATAAGTACATCGCCGGGTAGGTTGTTGAGTCAGCCTAACTATCCTTAAACGAAATTTTTAGACCAGCACTACTCTTTATCTTTGAAATTATTATTGTGTAACTATTCTGAAGTTCCACCGCAAGTCATCGGTATTATTGTAAGCACGCAGTTCATGCATTTGTGTTCAAAGTTTGACGAATAATGAAGGGTTATTTTCCCTTTCTTCTGTGCCAATATTTTTTTACGCCTGTGCGAGAAGTCGCCAGGTTACCTGGTAAGATCACGCTATTTGTATAATAGCTAAGAAGGTCAGATCTTACAACTTCATGTCCAAAACAAAATATCCTACTGCAAGAATTTTGCTTATTTACTTGTCTTCATTGTTTACGTTTTTGAATATCATAACGTTAAACAACTTATTCTCCCACACATGAGACTTTCTTGAACAAACGCTTGAAAAAGGATAATGTAATCTTGCAAAATATGTTTCTTTCTTTTTTTAACCATAACTTAATTGAACTATGGGTAAAAGCATCAGATAAAAATTATCATAGATATCATCAGAAATCACAATTAATTTAGTACTGGAGTAGTCACAGGTTTATGATAGCTAATGCTGGGAAGCGGGGGGAAAATCCCAGCATTCTATCGTCCTTACCATTATATAAATTCCTTATTCATTCGATCGTCACTTCTCGCTTGCATAATTAAATAAAAACGAAAAGACCTCATTATTCCTATAGATGTATACTTGCATATTTTTTCAGTATCGGATCATTATCGAACTATATCCAGATTCCAAAAACTGGTTTTGAGTTAGATTTCTAAGAAAACTTCCTTTCACACATTTATAACATTCGCACATTTATAACATTCCATATCCAAATTTATTAGAAATATATAGGGTAAAAGATACTAATATTAAATAACTAGATATGGGTTAATATTTACTATATTTTCATTCTTTGCACAGTTACGTAATTCACATCACAGAAAGTTTTAATTGCTAATTTTTAACTCCTTGCAAAGACAAATCTGCGAGTTGCAAATTCATTATCGCCTTGAAATCTGTTACATTTGTCTATCATGATTATTATGGTTTATTTGATTACGGCAAATCAGGCAAGGGCTGTATGCCTAAGGGGAGGCAATCTTCGTGGAGGACTTTCTTATAAACTGGCTCGTATCCACGTTGCACATAAAACAACGAGAACGCACATGCAGCCGGCCGGTTTCCCTGTAATTGAACTACCAGTGGTTTCGGCCGCTAGAGGCCTCATAAATATTTTGATAAAATTTAAATTTCTAAGCTACTTTTATAATATTACATCATACAGTTGTATAGTATACCATTGTCTAATATTTTTCAGAATTGTTTTCTATCCTATTGCATTTCTTCAAGAATATACACACATTTTCAAAGAACTTTTTCAGGTTCTTAATTTAAAACTGTGCAGATGATTGTGTCGATATATCTAACTTCCAGTTCCATAAAAAATACATATTTTTCGGTGACGATTGTTATATGTATATATATATATTGAGAAAAACATGTTTGCTATCCAGAGTTTTCCTGTTGTAAAAGTTGAAAGAAAACATTATCTTTTTATCAGATAAATTCTATATCATTGTTTAGAATCTTGAACGTTTATCATTCTTTAGATTTGAATGAAATTTCTGTTTAAAAAGATAGCTAATTCTGAAAGTACATCCCACTCTGTATTTATATACTCTCTTGCGTAAAGGCCTCATACTGAAGCATGATGCCATCTGGCCATGGAAGAAGTAAACATTAATTCATAAACTCTCAAAAACTTGTTTCTGCTCTTATTTATTCACAATTTTGACGATAACTTCTTAGATTTCTTTCCCTGACTCAGAGTTGTGATTTGTATCTTGATCTAAGGTTACCAATAGTTAGACGTGAACGGTTTTGGTACATAACGTTTTCTGATGTATAGATCAAAGTTTACGAAAGCAACAAATCCATTCTGAAATCAGATTCTCTATTGGGAGTGTCCGTGAGATATTGATTTGCTTCATCCAGTTTTGCTGATGTGCCATGTGTCAGAGTTCATTTCTTAGATTTACGAGAGTACCAACATTTACGTTGATACGTTGATTTCGCATTTATACATTGTAGCATTGGTTTTTGTTACAACGTTGACAAAAACAACTAAAATTATATGAGTAAATTCTGCTCATTATCACGAATTTATAAAGCCCTTTGTTGCTGCAGTTAAACACCACTTAAATATATTCTTACTCATTGAAGTAAACAGAAATTAGTAAGCCTTCAGTTCTTGGTCTTTAAATTGAGTTCACGATGCGCTGTATCAAAGATAATAAATATTCTACGAAATACGTCCGATGTTAATACAGGTGTTAAATATGTAGCAAACATTATTATCTTACATTTTTTCATATTTGAACTTTACTAAAACAAGTGAAAACTAATCTGATTAAGCGAAGTGATGATAAATTTTTTTTGAATATTTATTCTAAATTCGGTGCTAAAATATTTATTAATTAAAATTCGACTGAAACAATTCCTGGTAAATTTAGCGCTAAATAGAAAGTACTCTGCTCTAATGTTCATAGAGAATGTTCGGAAACCCTCTTTCTTGAGTAAATTTATATTTTATCATACACTGTCTTGTTGTGCTTTCAAAACTCGGACATCTTTGCTTCCACCTTTATCTTTCGCTCTTATTATGCACAACTATTCTATAGAATTCTGGAAACTAGTGAAAGCGCTTAGTTGCAATCTTTCGTGAAGAAATGAAGTGATTATTCGTTCAATAGGAATTTTTAAGTTGTACATATAGAAATGCATGATATTTTTCAGTCAAGAAGTCTTGGTAAAATTTATTATTTCCGAGCAATCTTTAGACGTATAAACGGTTATGTTATGTAGAGAAATTATCTGATAGCGTTATAAAAATTAGGTGAATGATTTTATGATTTATGGAAATCTTAATTTTTATTTGATTATGAATTATTTATTTTAAGGCTTTAATTTTGGGGAAAAACAGATGCTTCTGGGAATATTATTTAGTTTAAATGAATATTATTTATTTTCTTTTATTTGCAAATCTTGTACAAACTTTTATTCATTGTGAAAGAAGCAGGGAAAGGGAGGCAATTTTTTGCCAAGTCATGATTTCGCGCGCTCTGTCCTTTAGAATGTTCGAGAAAGAATTTTCATTGTTAGTTGACCTTAAGAGAGGAAAGTACGTGACAGAAAGGTCAAAGGTTGCTACTTGTCTTTCAATGTAAGTCATTCAGGTTTTTGGCGATTGAGGGTCCGGTTGTTGGCTAAGTGAAGAAGGGCGCGCATGCGCGATCACCCTTATTTCCGCATTCTGGAGTTGAAAACGAAAATTTTGCCATAATTAAGGGGGAGATAAGTGAAGCCATAGTGGGAGCCCGTTTTGTGAAGGAGATGAAGGAAATTCGAGTTGGACTTTTTTTTTGGCTCACTCTCGGACTGACTCGCTGATTTTCGGGCTTGCTGGACAAAATGTAATTACGAAGAGAGATATTTTCCGGCGGGGAGCGGCAAATATGCTCCCCGGCCGCGTTTTGGGTTAAGAGGCGACTCTCTTACGCACTCACTCTTGGACTCGCTGACTTTCGGGCTTGCTGGACTTGGGGACGTTGCTCTTGAAAACTGGCTTGAAGGAAATTCGAGTTGGATTCTCTCTCTTACTGACTGGCGGGTGGAACTTACTTGGGACGTTACTCGTGAAACTTGCTCTTGGGATGAGTAAGAACAGGCGAGCCGTAATTGCCTAGGAAAAACGTTTCTGACCTGAAGCTGAAAACCCTCTTCCTTGCGGCGTACTGGTAAAGAGGCGAAATTTGACGAGTTACCTGCGTGTTGACTTAGGACCTTCAGGACCAAGCGGATAGCCGTCCTGGGCAGCAGTGCTCCTGTTTCTGTTCTACAGTGGTGAAGTGGAGTCTACATTT